GTGAGATCTGCTCCAGAATGCTGAAGGAGGGAGAGCCACTTCCTGGGCGGGAAACTGCTCTTTTATATTGTGGAGCCTTTGGGCAGGAAGCCAGTTCAGTCTGTGAGATGGAGTCTGCAGGAGGCAGAGGCACTTGTGGGAGACATGCTGATCCCACTTTCTCCTGCAGGCCATCTAGACAGGGTATGAATAGTTTAGAGAAGGAAGAGATGGAGCGGTTTTGTCACCTTTATTTTGATTCTACAGTTCACTGTTAATATGCCTGTAAATAGTTGAGTTTTCCAATACTGTTGATTGTTGACGGTGAGAAGTCCCTCTGTACCACATAGTTCCCCAAGCTGCTTGGACATGCTAGGGGTGGGTCAGGGACTCCCTGAAAACAGGGCAAAATGGTCAGTTGCCAACTCTCCAGGGGAGCCCCAAAGATTGCCAGGAAGTGTCTAGGTGGGTTCCTAGTGACACCAGAGGGAGGGTAGGAGGCTGTCCCACCTAACCAGAGTCCAAGACAGGGACAGTGCTGGCAGCAATACCTGGAGAAAGTGGAGAAAAACTGCCCCTTCAGGTGCCAGGACAGGCAAAGGAGGGGTGGGCAGAGCGGGGCCTGCCAAGCTGACACAGGCCCGTTCCACCACAGGTACAATCACTTTTATCTGACTGTGTGCTGTCCAGCTTTAAAGAAACAACGGCTGCGGTTACACACATGAAATAATCCACTTTCAATGTACTTTCCAACTGGATTTTGCCAGTTCACACAATAAAATCCAGTTGGAAAGTGTGCTGAAAGTGGATTGAAGTGGATTATTTAGTGTGTGTGACCACAGCCAAAGTGCCTCAATAAATACACCTCTGTTGAAAGAATATCAAAGCTTAACATTAAAGCTTACTAAGAGGCTGAAACCACATTCGTTTAAAAAAATCAATAAGCCAACAAACTGTGGACTATCAAAGTCATGGTTAATAAAGATAGACTTCAATTTTATTTTTATTTCACTTTCATTCCTTATGATTTGACCCCACTTTTAAGAGAACATCTGGATATCATTCACCATTTTATACAGGATCGATTCTCCTTTCTGCTTTCCCAATTACTGAGTTGTTAGCTATTAAATGCAAACATAGGGCCCTGTACAATACACATCACAATATTTATTCACCGTATTTATCGTCCACCTTTCTCACTGAGACTCAAAAACATAACACAAAGGCTTAAACTAGATGAGATTTTCGAGTTCTCTGTCCACCAAAGTGGGATTGTCTGACATCTGATACTACATTGGGGGCTCATGAGGAAATGTGCAGGGTAACCCAGCTTTGATTGAAGAATATTCTCCAAGACAGTATAAATCTGCAGAGGTCTGAGCAGGCCAATCTGCCTCTCTCCTCCCTTTGTTTCCTTCTCCTTTTCAGGTATGTTGAGCTGTGGAAGAATCTGCCTGAAGAGGTCAGGAAACTTCCCCCACAATTCTATGTCACAGAATGTGCAAAACAGAAATGTTCAGGAGGGCATTTTTATAAAGGAAATAGAACTGTAGTGTAATGGAACAACTCAGGAGGCCACTTTTATTAGGGAATAGACTAGCATCTGTTGCCATATGTATTGTATGTATCGCCTCCCCCTTACTGCATTGTTTTCTTCCTTTGCTCTTTCTGCATTATGGCACTCTCGTGCCTTAGAGAATTTTTTTGTTTCTGTTTTGGTTGTTGTTACTGCATGAGTCGTAGTGTAATACTGATCGGAAGTCCTTGCTGTCTGATCCAGCTGTTTTTCAAATTTTGACATCTACCATCTGTGAGAAAGGCGGGATATAAAGGAAGTAAATGATAAATAAATACATTTGTGCTTCCTAGAGCATGGTGAGTCCTCATCAGTCTTGTCTGGCATCTAATACAAGTTGGCAGCTCATGAGGAATTGTGCATGTATTGAGAAGGCATTAATAATTCAATATCTTAGCTTTTTGTGTGGGTAGATTTAAATCTCAGAAAAGCGTGATTCTCAATAAATTTACTTTTCGTCACAATAGTAGTAAACTATCAGACATATGTCTTAATGTAATCTGTTCTGACATCCTTGGAAGTAGGAGGAAAGAAGCTTCATATTAAATCTACTGCCACTGTATTCATGTAATAAAAATATTAGCAGCTATGGTAGATCACCACAACAGTAATGATGAATAATTATGAATGGAAAATGGAAAATATTAATTTCACCCTGGCATAAAAAGGCAACAATGGAGAATGAACAAAGAATGAAAAAAAAATTGGTAGCTAAATCCCTGTAAACACCTAAATTATCAAGCAGTTGTTTAAAGGGATTTAGCTAGTAAGATTTACCTGGCAGTTGGTGAGGCTGCCTGGAAGGAAGCAGGAGCTTTGTCCACATTGGAGCCAAGCTTGTCTTTTGCATGGAGAGACACCTTGGCACTCCCTTCATCCACTGGGGTGCGGAGGACCAAGCCCCTGTTTCTACCTGGACCAGCAGCACCTTTCCAGAGCTTGCCTATTTAAGACCAGCAGCACCTCAAGTGTGGTGTGAGGTGATGGGGAAGGGAGTAGGACCTTTGGCCACAATGGAGGCAAGCCTGTCTTTTGCTGCTGTACTCTGCCTGCCCACATGGAGTGACCTCAGCACCCCCTTCATCCACTGGGGGGGGGAGGAACAAGTGCCTGTTACTGCTTGGGCTGGCAGCCTAGTAGCATCTTTCTGACACCTGCCTATTTAAGACCAACAGTAGCCTTTGGCATACACGGATGCCTTTGCAAAGTCTGTGGAATCAGAACCTAGCAGAATATGCAAGTGCCATGTTTAATTACTTTCTATTAATATGACTTTTAGTGAGACACTGCTCATATTGCTAGAAATCAAAGTTGTTGCTAAAGCTGCAATGCTATTAGTTTTCTATCTGCAGATGGGTCTTCCCACAGTGGGCGGTTTTAAACATATATATACTTTAAAAAGAAATTTAAAGGAAATACTACTTTACAAAGAGAATGATTAAAATATGTAATTCACTGCCAGAAGGTGTAGTGGTGGCCACAGGGATAAACCACTCTAAAAGGGGATTAGATATATTCATAGGAGCTGCGGTGGCTCAAGTAGTTAAGACACTGAACTGCAGGCTGTGGAAGGTCAGTAGTTCAGCAGTTCGAGACCCGGGTGCCGCATGACGGAGTGAGCTCCCGTCTCTAATTCCAGCTCCTGCCAACCTAGCAGTTTGAAAGCAAGAAATTGCAAGTAGATAAATAGGTACCACTTCGGTGGGAAGGTAACAGAGTTCCGTGCGCCTTGGTGTTTAGTCATGCCGGCCACATGACCACAGAAACGTCTTTGGACAGCGCTGGCTCTTTGGCTTTGAAACGGAGATGAGCACCGCAACCCTAGAGTCTGATTCGACTGGCTTTCGAGCAAGGGAACCTTTACCTTTACTTTATAGATATATTCATGGAGGATAACTCTATCAATGGCTACTAGCTATGGTGACTAAACCTCTGAATTCCAGAGCCAAGAGGCAAAATTGCCAGAGGAACTGGTTGACTACTGGGTGAGACAGGATGCTGGACTAGATGGACCACTGGTCTGATCCAGCAGGGCTCTTCTTATGTTCTTTATGCACATAAACGGAGAGTTTTGTTTTAAAGTCACAGGTGCCCTGTATGAACGAAATGAGTTTGCATTCAGAAACACCACATATTCCTTTTCAGTCTTATGGACAACACTACATAGATAGGCCATATTTACTAAAGTGAGTTTTCTAATTGCATATATTAAATCTATTGATACTAAGATGTTAATTGAGGCCACTTCTTTTCAATACATCACAAGAACTTTCAACCAATACACACTTATTTTGTGCTAAAGACAATAATTAGTCTCTCTATAGATATGATATAAAGATAATGGATCAGGCTTTAAATTCAAAAGATATAAATTGAAGCCATGGCTGTATGCTGCATCTTTGGTATGGAACATAAATAACCATGATGCAAGCAAAATGCACATAATAGTGCCACTCCTTTTAAAATGATTAGTGAAAACTGAAGTCTATTGTCTCTGGTTGATATTTTTAACATTTATTAAAAAAGCAAAATGTATGTTCATTTCAAATGAAACAGTTAATGTTAAAGCATACAAACACAAATTGTGTACTAGCAGCATTCAATTGTTAGAATTTTCTAGAACTCTGCAGTGCAGTTTTGGCAAGCTAAAAACACATTGTAGCTTGCAACCCACTGTTCTCACCATAGTGCAGATAAAACAAAAGCTTTATAAAATTAACAGGTTAAATAAGCTTAAATAAAGGTGTTAAATACAAGTCACTTGCTCAAAGGTTCTGTACAAAGATAAATGAATCTCGCATTATACAAATGTTTGACTGGCTCACACCATATATGATTTTAATAGTTAAGCACTCTATAACCATCTTAGCTGAACATGAACTATACAAAGGTAACTGACATTGGAGTGAGCTGATCAAGTGAGCTATGTACAAGACGTGTATCTTTAGAAAAATCAGAACACTGGTTAAATTTAGGCACCATTTTTCTTGCAAATAAATAAACCCTAATGTTTTCGCACCCACACTAGTGTTAAATCATCAGTGCTAATTTTTATAAACACAGTTTTCTGACTATTTAATTCTACTTCTTTTCTTATTGCTATGACAATGTGACTGTGGAAATAATCTACTGTACATACAAAAAAATAGAGCACCTTTAAACATTAAAGTCTAGTTTTCTTTTATCTTACAGTACTGAAACCCAAACTACCATAAATTGTTTTACTATCTTCACTGGAGTACCTGAAGGACAGAAGATAAATCCCAACAAATTCTTTTCTAGGCAAGCCCAAGGCAGAAGTATATTCTAAAATGTCTAAAATGACACCAGGAATTGTACATTCATCTTCACAAACACAAACGTCTGCCATTCATTCTCTGTTTCCTTCAGATAAATATGGAGAAAATTAGTAGTGGTCCACAGCCTTGTTCCCATGAATAGGGCTGGACACAAACTATATCAGACACATGTAAAATTGGGTTGTGAACATAGTGAAATTATCTTAGGCCAGTTCAGAATTACTGGTATTATGTGGTTCCAATAGTGCTTTTCAGGAACTTGGATATTAGGATTTCTTGTCAATAGTACTGAAAAACCACTCTGTAAATTTTCTTAGTTGTGCAGCTGCTGTTTGTGATTCTTCCTGAAGTCTCATGTTATCTTGTCTCAAATGATGAACTTCAGCTTGGAGAACAGCTTTGTCTTGTTTTTCCTAGATCACAAACAAAGGAATTGAATGACAGTTACAGCCATTGTGTCTATTGCTTATGTTTTTGAGTGAGGTGAGAGATTTCTCTTTAATTCCCTATGTACAACGATAGCCTTGGAACTCTTCAGCTGAATTCCCAACTTTTCCTGCCATGTTATTCTATAGAAGGTAGCTTGTAGGCGAAACAAAATCAATGAGATTGTATAAACTGGATTCTATAAGAGAGCTATGAGAATACAGTATACTTCAGAACATATTATATTATATATCATTATAAATCAAGAGATCACTATATAATAAAATATAACATTTTTAGAGCCATACATCATATTAAGGAAAAATATGCAGATTTAAAAGTACTTGCAATAAAACAGGAGGCCTTAGAAGTACTTGCAAATAAATGACCATACACATGTTTTCTACCCACTAGCTATTAAATATTACTTTCCAAAGGAAAAGGCCAAACAAATATGAGGAAAACCCCACACTGGACAATGGCTGCAATCACACTCACTAAATAATCCACTTTCAGTGCACTTTCAAATTGGGTTTTGCCTGTTCACACAGTAAAATCCAGTTGGAAAGTGCATTGAAAGTGGATTGAAAGTAGATAGTTTAATGTGTGTGATCGCGGCCATTGAGGTGGAAACAATTTCCAAATACTACATACAGGCTGTGGTCACACACACTAAATAATCCACTTTCAGTGCACTTTCCAACTGGATTTTTACTGTGTGAACTGGCAAAAACCATTTGGGAAGTGGATTGAAACTGGATTATTTAGTGTGTGTGACCGCAGCCACATAGTACTAATCCATGAGCTTCACCAACAAGAGGCTCAACATCTACTGCAGTGACAAATATCTAGTGGCAATCAAGACTATGTGCTCCACAATCAGTGGACAATTTTGAACAATATTGTCCTCCAATTGCTTCCCTGTACACGGAGGGGAGCAGAAAATATCAAAGTGTCTTACTTAATGAACCAACCAATTCTGTGGGCCTAATGTTTGGATAGGACATGAATACATAAAATCCAGCACATGTAGGCTCACATTAGATGATTCCAGGATTTTAACTGGATAACCAATCAAATCAAATGTGTCTCTGCTTTTTAAAAAATGGTTATAAAAAACTAGTAAACACAGTACAAAGAACTATTACACAGCTTAATTCCTCGCATAAATTGTACTACCTAAACGTGAAGTTATTGACTAAGGGTTGGAACCCATTTTCACCAATTAACCCCTTGAATGCCAGCCCCCACCCCAACTCCCCCTCATGCTGTTCCTAGGGGTTTCCTGTATCCTAGAAGCAGCACTGGGGAACATTTTGGGCTCCAGTGAGTATGTACATGGTTTTTAGAGCCAAAGAAGTGAGCTAAAATGAACTAAACCTCTCTCTGCCTGCAGCTTGTATCTCCACAATCTACCTAGCACAAACACACACACACACGCATTTCCTTTGAGGAGTGCAGGATATAGGGTTGCCAGACCCCAGGTAAGAGCAGGAGATTCCCCAATTTTGTGGGTTCCTGGCCACCTCTGGCAAACTGGCTGTTGGGGGGAAGCCCTGCCCCCAACAGACACAACCCAGTGTGATGCCCCCAACATGATGATGGCACTTCTGTGTGATGTCATCACATCAGGGACATCGCACATGGTGATATCATCCTACCCCCCAGAAAACTCCCTCCCATCCCCCGCTGAGGAGAGCCTAGGACCGGCAACCCTAGGAGGGTAGCATATATTGTTTGTTCTTCCCTATTAGCCCCTGTACTACCACGGCTCTTTCTCTTCAGCCTAATTATGGAAGTGAACTTGGTTGGGATAAAAGACTGCCCATCAGACAGGGTAGATAAGTGATAGGTTAAGAGAATGTTTAGTATTTTCCAACAATGCAGCCCTTTTGCTCTAAAAATCAGCCCCCACTTCATATTAATGGGAACAGGCCCAGATTTAAACAAATGGGTCTAATACTGTCATGTGTAGTTTAACCTTTAAATACTCTGGAAATACTGCTTAGTACTTCAGGGGCAAAACTGTTCCAGAGGCACAATTGGCTTTAACTTTCAAAGCATTTCCACAGAGCGGCTATGTGCTACTTTCATAGAGGTTATGCAACCATTCCTTGCAATTGTTTGCAAAAGTGTTTTTGAAAGCAAATCTTATATAAGAAAGGCAGATGCAAAGAGTCAAACAAAGACTGAAAGCAATTTAGATAGTCATTTGTATCACAAGCAAATATTTAGGTATTTTCAGGCCTAACTCATATTGAAACATCTTTTTTTAACAGAGGTATTCATGGATTGCCTAAGAAATAAGGACATGCAGTCAAAACTATTCTTACTTATCTAGTATACAAGTGCAATAAAATATGTTTTTTAAAAAGCCTATGCTTTAAATACACTTGGCAATTCTATTTTTTTTTACAGAAAATAGCTCAGTAAGAATGAGTTCAGTAAGAATTATAGTCACACAATGGTCATGCCTCGCAATACCAAAGCAAAATATTCCATATTGAAAAGGGTGCCAACGTTGTATAATAGAAGATATCACCTAGCATAAATTATCACATGCACTGTAAGGAAACAAAACCAAAAAGATGGTCCTGAAGGGGGATTAGACACATTAATGAAGGATAGACTCATCATTGCCTACAAGCCATAGTGACTAAAGGGAACCTCCACAACCAGAGTAAGGCAACATCAGGGGAAGGACTTGGCTTCTATGTCTTTCTTGTTGGTCCTGGTGCAAAATAGGATGTTGGACTAGACAGACCATTGTTTATTTTTTGTTTATTTTATTTATTTGTTTTATATCCCGCCCTCCCCGTGAGTGGGCTCACAGCCACTTACAAGGTCACAAAGAATATTGTGACAGTAAAACAACACATAAAATCCAACAATTAAATTTTAAATTTTAAAAATTCAAAGTTTCATTAAAAAAACAGAGTAGAGGAGGCGGGATTCACCGCGACAGGAACAGTCGCACCAGGAAGAGCTCCCGGGTGCTGGCCAGATCGCCGGCTCTTTTAGGAGGGTTCGGGGGTTCCCAAATTCAAATGATCTTCCCGTAGAGAAGACTATAATAATTGTTGATATATGCTTATTAGATGTGGTGCCATTGTAAAACTGTTGGAAAATATTTCTAGAGATTCTTTGGTTTTAACACGTTGTTGAAAAAAAATGGATGGCACAGATAGACTTCAAACGGTGCCAGAGGCTTTATTCTCAGATACAATGGAACTTATAAGCATTTAATTATTACAGGTCTCCTTAAAAGACTTGCATAGTTTAAATCAAAACACAATTATGGTAGCTGTAAAAAGGGCAGTCAAAGAATTTTTTTACCCTACAAAAGAGGAAACAGAAATGCTGATGCAACAAACTAAGAAGGAAACAATTCAGATAGCCTCGAAAGAGGAGGAAAAAAGACATGACTGTGTAGAGGATATAGAGGAAATCTACAATCAAGATGACATGATCCATAGAATGGAGTTTGCGCCTATAAAGAGAAACAAAACTTCCACAAATGTGCATCAGAGACTTAGAACCATCAGTGATGAAATTGCCAAAATAAGGAGTCACATGTCACCTCAGAGAGACAAAAGAAACCAACACTTGGGTCCACAAACTATTCTAAAGATTGAGTACAGATGTTTATACTCAGAAGATTTCCACACTTATAAGGGGAAAAGACATAGAATTAAGACTTTAAAACTTAAGAGGAGAAATCAGAAAATCAAGAATAAGAGGAAAGCTACAAAAGGGATGGGAAATTTCTGAGGGAATTTCTGAGACTGATATTGGAGTAAGACCATTACATTAATATCCAGAAGAAAATAAAGAATTATGCCTTTTTATATATCCAAAGAAATAATTTAACAATATGCTTAGACAAAATCTGTATTAGTAGAATAAAAGAAACTGTATACCTATATATTTGCAAATATTATATAATAACAGTAGGTAGAAAAATGATACAGATTTAGTTAACGTATGAGGTACTTTAATAGAGGAAAAGAAAGACTGAAATGTTGTACCTCAATTTTATGTTTGTTTGTTATGAAAATAAAAAATTGTTTTAAAAAACAACAGAGTAAAAGTTGCCTTGGTAGTGACGCTCAGATGAAACCTTCTGGGCAGTGCTGTGAGGTATCAAGCCATTAACCACTAGGCTAGGGCTGTCAGCAGTGGGAAGGCCAAGAATGGGAATTTGGACACCCGCTGCCTCAACTAAAAGCCTGGCAGAACAGCTCCGTTTTGCAGGGCCTGCAGAATTGTAACAGATCCTACATGATCCTGATCTCAGACGGGAGCTTGTTCTGCCAGGCTGGGGCCAGGGCTTGCCGGACATCCTTCGGGCCAGGGACAACCAGAAGATGTTGGGCAATTAAGCGCAAGACTCTGTAGGGCACATAGGGGGAGAGACAGTCCCTGCTCCAGCATGACTGTTCTTACTCTCTAGAGCCAGAGAGCAAAAGGTACCCACCATGCGCTCCATATCCACCCAGCAAAAATGCGAAAGCAAAAATAAATGGCTTAAGCCAAAGAGCAAATATTCATGCTATTTGCTTACTTATATATGTATACACTGCTTTTGACCACCAGGTCAATTATATATATTGCAAGAAAAGGCAATAATTAAAGACCACCATGACAATCAGTTATCTCAATCCAGTGAAGGAAATTCAGGTCTACCTTCCTATCAGTTAAACCTGAGAGTCTGAGCAAGAACTCTAAGATTTGTCTCCTGTTTTCAAGCCAAAAAATTCCCAAATCAAACACACACCCCTTAGTAAAATTACTATGATAATGACCAGAATTCATAAATTAACCCCCACCAAAATAGTTTCAATTATTCCTCCCCTTTCCTGATTCCAGAAGTGTATGTTTATGCTATTCCCTCCGAAGTGTATGTCTATACTATTGCCTGTTTACACATCCATAATACGTTATCTGAAAGGTTCGTTCTATTAAATGTAACCTTCTCAGACACTTTCAGTGCAATCCTAAGAAGAATTACGTTCTTCTAAGACCACTGAAGTCTTAGTAGGCTTAGTAGGATTAGCTTTGTGTAGGACTGAAGTAAAAGACTGCTCTGTCTGCCAGAGGCTTTCTGAGCTCTTTCCCAGCTTTGCCATATGAGCTGTTTTAGCCTGGAGATGCCAGAGCTGAACCTGGACCATTTTGCATGCAAAGCTCTGAGTAACAGCTGTCTTGGTGTAAGTATATTTTGGGCAGAAATCATACATGCACAGGTATCATAACAATTGAGCAATAAGGGAAAACTTTTTATTGGACATTTTTACCTTCCGAAGATCTGTTTGCAATTGTCGGAGGATCACTTCCAGCTGGTTTACCTTTCCAGTCAATGTGGTAGGGTTATCTTCCCTGAAAAATTAAATGGCACTTAACTTGGGCCTATTGTAAAGTATCCTACTTGCATCCAAATAAATCAGTTCAACACAAAATGCAAGTAGAGACAGAATGACAGATATAATCCCTGCAAAAAAACAAATACATGTGAGATCTGCCTCATACATTTTGTTATCTCTGCCCCAGCCCCATAGGCAGGAATTTTCTCTGGGGTGTGTTTGTTGGGGGGGCACTAGTTAAACTAAATGTGTGCCTTCCAAAGAGGAGGTCCTTCAGGATTTTTCAGGTTGACACTGGCCCACAGCTGCCAGGGAAGAAGTGGTGGTGCAGAGCAGCCTGAGAGCTGCTGGTTGGCTGGCGGGAAATTTTGCTTGGGGCTGCTTATTACCAGACTCCTGAGTGGTTGGGACACCACTGAGGGGATGCAGCATTCAGTTCCCACCTACTCCCCTTTATCAATGGCATGGGAAGTTTCCAGCTTTTACCTTCAAGCTGAAGAGCTGCGTCTTTAGCACGTGACTGACTGTGCAGGATATCAGCTCCTTTTCTTTTACAGCCACTGCTGCTTAGGAACAGAGAGGAGAAGGAAGAAGCACCTGGCAGGTTAGCAGTGCCTTTGCTCTACAGCCTGGGCAGTTTCTCCACTGCACTTGGCCACCCCCATGCTGAGTGACAGCCTCAAGGATGGCTCAGTCAGTGGAGGGGGTGCTGCCTTGGTGCACTTTCCATTCGTGGGGAAGGTGTGGCCAACCAAGAAAGGCTGCGGCCATAAACTATGAGGCCTTGCGTGCTTTCTCTTCCCCACTCTGGAACTGGGGAAAGCAGGAGCCCAAGACTCCCACTGGCTATGGGCATGGATAGAGAGCACTGCAGATTCAATAGGGGGCACTGCCCTCAGCCCCCCACCACTGGCTACGGGCCTACTCTGTCCACACCTTCAGAAGTTAGACAGTTGGCAACAAGAGGCCTTTCCCCCCCCACTAGTGGCACCTCACTTATGGAACACCCTTCCTCTTGAGGCTCACCTAGCACCTATGTTGCTTCCTTTTAGGCTAGGCCAAAATGTTTCTGTTCACCCATGGTTTATTTATTTATTTTATTTATTATTTAAATTTATACCCCGCCCTCTCCCGTAGGGCTCAGGTATTTAATTAAGGTATTGACCTTTTAGCACTATTTTAGACTGGCCTATTTTTAATGGTTTATGTTATTATGCTGGACTGAAGTATACTGCTAGATTTTAATTAACTAAATGGTTTTTATTATTTTTATTTTGTAAGCCACCTCAGGCAGGTTTCTAGAGAGGTGGAATAAAATTTTCTAAACAAACAAAGTGTAGAAGACATGTAGAATTCCATGCAAGTGATGCCTGAAGTATAACTAGGGTTGCCAGCAGGTGGCAACTGGCTAGGAGGCAGGGACATGGGGCGGTTCTGTTGGCACGATGTGTTATTTACTGTGATGGACCCCTTCCACTTCCCTCCCTCAGAAACTAGATTTTCCCTCTGTTTCTCTGGCTCTTCACTGACTGATCAGTCCTGATAACATGTTTCTTCTCCCCTGAAGAAACTTTGGTTGTCCCACCCATCAGTAAGATATATTTTGACTATTTGCTCAGCTCAGGACTCTGAGGGAAGGGATAGGATCGCTTTTTAACTTAAATACTTGAAAATGGCACTTGAGGTGCTTTTAAAATTCAAAAATAACAAAAGGTTTTATTTAACATCAAAGGGGAAGGTCAGGTGAAATCAGGGGTTGAAATTACTGAGGTAAAACTAGTATAAGCACAGACTTTTAATCTTATAAATCAGGCTAGTGAGAGGTTCTTAATTCATTCACAGTTACCTAGATCTTTATATTGAGAGGCTTTTGATCTAGTGTTTTCCCAAACACTCTAGTTCACTTTATTTGAGTAATTGTTGACTCTTTTGGTGCCTAGATAGCTGGTACCCTCTTCTCAGTATCCAAACCCCATCTTTTGGAACACCAGTACTCTTCTTGAATTGTTCACTGTCTTTTAAGGTCTCTACAGGCAGTTTTTAATCACATCAGACCAGGGATCTCTGCACTCATCAGAGATAACTCTTCCCTGTTTGACTGGGTATTTATTTATTTATTTAGGGTAGGGAATTTTCTTCTCTCCCTAGAAGATCTATCACCTTTTCTTTGTCCTGAATGGTAGTCTTCTCTACTACTCAAACTTCCTTGTCAAACTCTCCACCAGTTCTCTGTCTGTGTTCAAACTGCTTTCAGCTACTGCTGAATTCAGACTGCCTTCAGTTGAGGTTGCAATCTGACTCTGTCAGCATTAAACCCTTTTCCTGTCAGGGCTATTCATAGATGGTCTCAGTATATGTTTCTTCTCAGTTAAGGCAGGAATCTGACTGACTCTCCTTCGCATCCAGCTCTCTATAGTCTTTTTTTGCTCAGCTGATGCTAACCAATCAGATCTCTTGGAATAGCCTGTCACTCAAGGCTGTCTGGCTCTGTAAAGAATTAACCCTTCACAGTCCTTGCATTGTTAGTACAACACTTCAGAGTCTCTTAAAAAGTGCAGTCCATCACAGTCATATCATGTGATGATCACATATCATGCCTTTCTAGGAATTGCATGTAACTCTATGGTAAAATCACAGAGTTCCCAGCAATTTAATTATGCTTTTAGTTCTGTAAACGTCTGCAAGAACTATGTGCTACAGGTTAAAACTTTAAACAAGTAAATAAAAAATAAATGCCTAAAGCATTTAGGCACAGGTTCCTTATGGAACTCCTACTTTGAAGGGATCAAGAAAAAACTGCTCAGTATTTTCAAGGCACAAGAACACATAGATCACATTCTGACTCACCTAGCTCAGTCCTCTCTATTCTGACTGACAGTGGTTCTCCCAGGCAAGGAAGGGGCTTTACAATTTTCTGAGATCCTTTGACTGCAAGTGCCATGGATTTAACTGAGGAGTCTTCTACATGCCAAAGTGTGTACTTTTATCATTGAGAAATGACAAGAAAATTCCCCAACTACAAACCTACCTAAGATCTTAGAAGACAAACTTCCAAACACTGCCAGTTTCCAATTTGCCCTATCTGGGCAAATTAATAGAGAGGGCGGTGGCGATACAGTTGCAGAGCTATCTGGATGACACTTCCGTATTAGATCCCTACTAGTCCGGCTTTCGCCCGGGACACAGGACGAAGACAGCACTGGTCACCCTTACTGACGACCTTTGGAGACATCTGGACCGGGGCGGTGTGGCAGTGCTGGTGTTGTTAGATCTGTTGGCTGCATTTGACACGGTCGACCACCAGTTACTGACCCACCGCCTCGCTGACGCGGGGATACAGGGACTTGCCTTGCAGTGGCTCATGTCCTTTCTCCAAGGTTGGGGACAAAGAGTGGTGCTTGGGGAGCAGCAGTCCCAGAGGCACCCGCTTGAGTGTGGTGTGCCACAAGGGGCAGTGCTGTCCCTGATGTTATTTAACATCTATATGCGCCCTCTTGCCCAGATTGCCCGGAGGTATGGGCTGGGTTGTCACCAGTACACTGATGACACCCAGCTCTATCTGATGTTGGGTGGCCAGTTGGACTCCAGACCAGAAGATCTGGACCAGGCCCTGCATGCCGTGGCTGGTTGGCTCAGGTTGAGCCAGCTGAAGCTAAATCCAGCGAAGGTGGAGGTCCTGTGCCTGAGTTGGAGCGGTCTGGGGTCGGGGCTCCCACTTCCGACCTTCAACGGGGCGCCACTGGTGCCTGCGTCGGTGGCTAGGAGTTTGGGAGTGCTCCTGGATCCCTCCTTAACAATGGAGGCCCAGGTAGCGGCCACTGCCAAGTCGGCGTTTTACCATCTTTGGCTGGTACGGCAGTTGGCCCCCTTCCTTGACCAGGATGACCTGGCTACAGTGATCCATGCGACGGTCACCTCGAGGCTAGACTACTGTAATGCTCTCTACATGGGGCTGCCCTTGTCGCAAATCTGGAGGCTGCAGCTAGTGCAGAATGCCGCGGCCAGGCTGTTGATGTGTCTCCCTAGACAGGAGCACATCCGACCTGTGATGAAGGCACTGCACTGGCTGCCAACAGCATACCGAATTCACTTCAAGGTGCTGGTGCTCACCTTTAAAGCCCTATATGGCCAGGGTCCGACATACCTGAGGGACCGCCTTTCCCCATATATACTCCAGAGAGCACTATGGTCGGGGTCACAACATCGACTAGTTATTCCAGGCCCCAGGGATGCCAGGCTTGCTGTGACCAGGGCTAGGGCCTTTTCAGTGGTGGCTCCTCACTGGTGGAATGAGTTCCCAGAGGAGATCATGGCCCTGTGGGATCTTGTGCAGTTCCGCAGGGCCTGTAAGATGGAGCTCTTCCACCAGGCTTTTAATTAGGAGCTGCCACCACTACCATCAATGCCCACAATTAACATCTGTGGTGTAAGACCAGCCTAACTGACATCGTATTTACCATCTTGTGGAGTCCAAAGACTGAGATCCTTAGGTGCACCTTTACATGGCACGCCATTGTGATTTAATACTGTGAGCACTTTAAATTTTAAATTGTTTAATTATTTAACTGTTTTAACTGTTTAATTGTTCAATTGTGTTTTAACTGTTTATGATTTTGGCGTACTATGCCAAACATTGTTAGCCGCCCTGAGCCTGCTTGCGGGGAGGGCGGGATATAAATGTAATAATAAATAAATAAAATAAAAAAATAAATATGTTGCAGAAACAGTCCTCCCATCAATGACATTCTTCTGCTTACAGAAAGTCTCTCTCAATTAATATGGAAAGTACCCCTCTGCTCATTTGTATGAGGAAATGGGTTGATACTATCTGTCATTATTTGCCCCTCCTTGGGCACAGTTTTCCCTTGAATAATGGTGTGTGTGCACACATATTCTCTCCTAACCAATACTTTGACTGGTCATTCTTGTTCGTCTCATTTGGCCTGTTCGCTGTCCACGCACATTTTGGCATCTATTTTAGACTTTTTCCTATTCTATGACCTATTAATGAGCTTCTTGAGTCCTAACCACTTTCTGACCCTCACTGGTTATGATTTACTTACATCTGACTTTCTTTCACAGCTCTGTCAAACTCCTCAGCTTCTATTTTCCCCATTTTCAACAGTATTCTGCTGATGAGTGGTTTTGAAGGTTGTCAGAAGACACCAATGTTAATGCAATGGAAATGTTTACACAGTTATCTCACAGGCATGATTTCCCTTCTAATGTCTTATAGGACAGCCATTCTTGCGCTTTGGAAACTCAGAGACTCTCATTTTGATTTCATTTTTTGTTGGGAATCCCCTCCCCCAAGGCTTCACCTCTTCCCACACGAATGCCTACCAAGCACTAGACAAAGCAAGAAACTTCCTTATAATAACTTATAAATGGCTGAGCAGGGGTGGGAACAGAAATACTTTTAGAAATGCTCAGAGAAATAAGACTTGCATCACACAAAGCTTGAGCTTCTGGTATTCAGCTGAAAGCTGTCATTATTACTGTCTATAGATGCAGAGTGGTATTTTCATCTTTGGTGAAATCCTATGCATGGAAAATAAGAGTGGAAAACTGTTCAATTTTTTACCAGAGGAAATTATGATTGTATTAGGTCTGTACATCCTTGATGCCAGTCAGCCCATCAGAGTTCCTAGGTCTGAGCTACTGGATCCTAGCAATCCAATTTCTGGCCCAGTGCTCTGAAGTGATTTGGAAAGTAGGTGATGGTGGGTAGTGGTGGGTCTAAAAGCTCCTCCCCTTTGACAGAAGGGGAAGTCAATTCTATCCTTTCTCCAAGGCTAAGAGTGCCTGCTCTTGTTCCTAGAAACTGTTTTTCACATTAGCTTGACATGCATGAGAGAGGCTTTCCCTCCATGTCTTTACAAAGAACTCACGGATCCCAGATTGAAAATCTCTGTCATATAATATTTATCTCTAAATTCTCAGGGAAAATCTTCTCAGGATCATAACAGGTATTTGAAAATATATTTAGAGAGCAACTCCATTACTTTCCTCCTAAAATGCACACTAGACTGTCAGAACTATTTATAAAGTTTAAGACCAAGAAAGTTTTATTCAAGGTGTGAGCTTTTGTGAGCATTCATCTGCACGCATGCTTTCTCAGACACACTGAAATGGAAGTGATCAGTCCATAATTATAGGCAGGGGTCGTTTCGTAGAAAAAGAGCTAGGGGAACTCATTAGCATATGCCACCCCCCCTGACATCACCGGAAGTGTGTCATAAGGCCACACCCCCTGACATCACCGAAGTGTGTCATAAGGCCACACACCCCGCCCCCAACGGTCCCGGCCGCCGCCGCTGGCCTTGCAGCTCCACTGCCGAGCCCCATGAGGGATGGCAGTGGACCTGCAAGGCCGGCGGGAGTGCAAGGAAGCCCCGCGAAGGCCCTCCCTGGCCCCAGGCAGGCAGGGGTGGGGAGAGGCAGGGAGGAAGCAACTTACCCTCCCTCTTCTCCTGCCTCCTCCTGGCTGAATGAGGGCCGGAAGCGGGGCAGCTGGAAGCAGGGGGCGGGGCTTCGTCATGTGCCTCGCCCCCCGTACCTCACCCGGGGGAACTGCGATCCCCCGCGATCCCCCCAAAATGACCTCTGCTTATAGGTAAAGGGTCAGCTGCAAATTAGCTCATACCTTGAGTAAAACTTTGTTGTTCTTAAAGGTGCCACTGGACTCTAACTTTGTTCTACTGCTTCAGACCAACATGACTACCCACCTAGAACTATTTATGTTCTTGACAAATTTCACAAAATTATTTCCGAGGTATCAACATTTTCTGGATAGAACTTTCAACACTTGTCAAAATAGGCATATTTAATAATGAGCAGAAGCAGTAGGATATACCTTATCTGTTTCCTATTGAATCAGCTTTTTATTTCTATTAAGATGCATTCTTGGGATATGTAATAATCAGAACTAGAGAGCTGTACAACTTCCATTTACCTTGAATATATGCAATTTCAAAAAAGGACAGAGTGAAAGAAATTTTGGCATGAGCACATGTTGAAACATATTGATCTTTACTTCAGTGCACTGGTATGCAAAAAGGGGTATTTTAACATTTAAATACATTAAATCAAAGAAACAGGATTAGATCCTTTCTTATATGACAAAACTATTGATAAAAATCCTTGTGCATATACCTGAATCTTACAACATACTTCTATCCCCTTTATGCTGGGATTTATAAAACATATTTTCTTTGAGAAAACATGTATTTGTAAGAATGGTTGTGCACTTTGTAATAATCTATTTTTGCCTAATACATATTTCTCTGTATTAAGGAGATCTTTTTCCAGTAATCTCTATATTTCTTTACTCCCAAACATGCACAATCTGTTATCTGATTTCTTCTTCAATTTATCAGAATATTTATTCCAAGAAGCAAAGGAAAATATGATAATCTAGTATGCAAAATTAGTTTATCTGATCTCTGGCCACCTTAGCATAGTTCTAATACTACAGTTAAAAATCCATCTCTACTGCCAGATTGCCCCATGACTCAGATTTGGCATGTGAATTAAAAAATTGGGTACACAGCGCATATGTCAATGTGTGAATTGTCACAGACCTGTGAAACTAGGCCACCAATTATAAAAATTGCAAAAATGCCTGTCCATGGGGAGATTCAGGTGATTTTAATCATGCTAATGAACTTCTTCAACGTGCAAGATTTCACTGGTATGTTCTAAATTTCCTGAACCATGTGCCTTAAGAGAGTTAATGTGGTGTAATGGTCAAACTATCACTCAAGGACTGGAGAGGCCTTGGTTCAAACCTCTACTCAGTTTGAAGCTCATTGGGTGATTCTGGGCTAGTCATTCTTTTCATATGGGAGAATCATAGGTGGCACTCCAAATTCCTTAAAGACATCCATATAGTTGTAATTTTTGTGATAACTAAGACTTCAATAATATCCAAAGGAGACCTTGGTCTTTTTTAAAAAATGGCCAATACTGAAAAGAGTACTGGAGTTGCTTATAGGCCAGCATATAGCAATTTAAATGGCTATATGTATCTGATTTTATATTAAGTTTAAAATATGGAATCTTAGGCAATCCCTATTATTTTCATGTGGCAACCAGAGAAATTCAGTTGTTATTGACAAGTCAGAAAGGAAGGCGCACAGAGCAGTGATCTAATGAGCTAAATGAACACTGAATTCAAGTTCCTTCTGGATTTTTATTCTGAGGATATTGGAACCCAACAATCTCATTGTTTGCCTTGTCCCCACTAAATATTTAACTTTTAGGGATGAAATATGTCAAATGACATAAGCCGTAGAACAGAAGAGATTGGAAGCTTGTCCAGTTCAACCCTGTGTATTAAGGGAGAGGTATTTTTGTCCCCAAAATATTGTTGTCAGCATAAACAATATGCTTTAAATAAGTATCTCTTGTAATAAAGCAATAAGAAACTTATTTACATGTGTACATAAACTCTACAGTCACTACACTGAGGTACTTAAATGTAGCCCAAGGGTTATATTCTCTCTGCAGGATTTTAGACATTTTTCCAATGCCATATAATAAACCACTTTTGACTCTTTCTTATGTTGCAGGAGTTGTTTGCCTAAAATATGAGTTTTGAGGAAGGATTTAAAGAAAGTGAGAGAGGTGGCATCACACAAGTGTTCCAAGTATCAGTGATGTAAGGGAGAAAGGGCAGAGTTGTTTGCTGGAGTAGGAAACCCTCAGATCGATGAGGATCGGAGAGCTGAAGAGGCGAAGGTGATGGGTAGAGATGTATCAGAATATGGTGACCTATTAATCCTGTACATTTTGATTACTTGGGGGCGGAGTCCCATCTGACTTACATACCCAGTAGTATCAATGAAATTTTTTCCATGTGTTGGACTTGTACTCAGAGGTAAGTCTTGATTATTCTCCAAACCCTGCACATGCTGCATGTCATTCATGGTGCAAAAAGATGCCACCCTTTGATCTGGAAAAGCAAATAAATATATGCTAAAATAAAATAGCTGTGTACAGATGATTCCAGTATATAAAAACTGTTCAAGAACTCTAAGACATGATCTTTTTATCTGGATCAGTCACAGACAAGGAAACAAGCGTCTGCATCACAGTTTGTTTGTTTTTAAAAAACACCACCATATGGACTTCCAACATATATCTGAAAGCAATCTACTATAGCCTCAGCTCTGCATATATCAAGAAGATTTGGTTTGGCTGAAATTTACAGAAAATTGGAGACCACGACCAATTTCACATTGTAATCAATAAAAATGCAAGCACTTTCCATGTAGGTATCCCCCCCCTCAATTCCATAAAACACTATGGAATCTAGTACAGCAGAACATATTTACTGTGCTGCTGTACTTGAACATACTGCTTAAGTTATTGATTGCTTGCAGACTTGAAGGCCGATATGCTAGTACTACATTATGACCATTACCTTTAGGCATGTAAAGAAGTTAGGATCTTCAAGTATCAACTTATTTACCTAGGATTCACATAATACATGCTTGACTCACTTGTTAGCTACTTGGTTTCCCTAAAGGACATGCAGTGTAGCAGACAAAATATACCCAGTGCTAAAGCATGTCACACATACTGGTACAGAATATGAATAAATGATATTTGAGCCTTTTCCATGCAAAAGATTTATTCCATAATAATAGAGATCATTCATTTATGTATAGATTTCCCTAGGCAGTCCACAGGCTTCTACTGGTCCTGGCCATGACATGCCTAGTCCTTTCACCTTGCAAAGGTCCAAAGCTTGCATATAATCATGCAAACGTGCAAACATATAACAGCATAATGGAAGGTTTTAAAAGAATTAATATCTAACAGTCATCTCCAGACCATCACCTAGAAACGAAGTGTGATGACAGACTGGCTCAAGTTCTTCGTCAGAGTCAAAATCTGAAATAAGATTTAGAATGTTCCTATGAACAACAGAGTTCACCGAACTAATTTTGGAATAGCATAGCTGCTATGTGTGTGTGAGAGAGAAATTCTGGAATATTACTTAGCACCAGTGTTTATTGTGTCATCCTTCTCAAAGCAGTATTGTTCATTGTCACTATATCATGATACCTTTTACAATCAGTGTAAGGAAGAGAAAACATGACTATCAGTTCAAATGATTATAAAAGGAAATGCAGAGAAAGACTGGCCCACCATTTTAAGATGTAATATTTCTATTGGTATACATTTCTCTTTGTTGGATTTCCATACAGTTACATAAAGGACAGTAAACAATGCTAACTATATCCCTATTAGCAGCTTATGATCTCTCTCTAGTTTTAAATCACAAGTTCATATGGGCTACTAAGACAAGAAAATTTCACACTTCATTGGCATCAAGGGGCGGAGGAAGCTCATTAAGACAGCTTCCGGGAAACTCAAAAATGAATTTAATTCTCTCTGGAAAGTAACATATTCATAGCAGAGAAAGGGTTCTACAAGCATCTGCCTTAAAGAAGAATGGAGTAAAAATGCAGATTTGCATATTATATATTTTAATCGTTGCCTGCATTTTTCACTACAATATCATGAGAGAGGATAGAGAAGATGTAGTTATTTATATATATTTTTCCATTTGCCAGATAGGTTATTTTTTCCCATCCCTCTGTTTGTTTATCAATATGTACAGTTACTCATTTTCAGTATATTCAACTGAAGTTGCTTAATTATATGAGTTAGATTTTTATCTTGTAAAAGCCTAAGCATCTGCCTTTGTCTGTGTCATCTCTGTGGCCCTCTTGCACAGGGCACGTTGTGGGGGGACACTCTAGTATTTGAGAAAAAAAAATTTCTCAAACACTAGAGTGTCCCCCCGCAACGTGCCCTGCGCAATGATGTCACCTCCGCATGATGTCATCGTGCTGGGCAGGTTGGCACGGATGGGGCTGCTCGGGGGGGGCTCCCCTGCTGGCCAGCTTGGTGGCAGCAGATTGGAGCCCCAAAAGCAGGGAAAACCCACCCCCATCGAATCCCCAAATTTAGGAACCTGGTCTGTTTCACTGATTGTGAAAGGCAGCAGAAGACTCTGCTCTACAATAAGCAGGCAGCACAAGTCCCGGAAGAAGGAGAGAAACCCCCCCACTGGAACACAGTAAGGACCTGGCAACCGTAACTTGGGGGAGGGAAGGCAAACCATCCCCAAGTGTGTTCAGCATGGTTTCCTGTGAATACTTTCCATTGCCTGTTTAGCACACATGCAGACTAAACTAACAGAAGAGCTCAGGCGAACAAGATATACTTTTATATAAATTGAAAAGCCACCCTCAGGTTACTGAGAAGGTTCAACAACATTAAAAAAGCCCTAAAAATAAAAGTACTTTGTACAGCATCAGTTCTTAGTATAGAACTTTGGGAACATAGGCTGTTGGGTGGAACAATGCACCTACTTAATCTGCATAGTGGGAGGAGTGTATGTCACGAGTTTGCTCACTGAAAAACTCCACAGGTAAAGCATGAGGCCTACTCATTTTTTTGTTAGAGAAGGGAAAGAGGGGAGAGGCTTTTCCGAAGCTCCTGTGTTTGCTCCAAGTAACTGAATTATGGAAATGCCTTAGCTGAAGAAATTTTTGTCTAGTGAGCCCCTCTCTTTATTGAAGTAACTTCTTGTGGAGAAGGTTAGTCCACAGACCATCTTTTTTTGCAGGGGGAAAATAACTTCTTGGTGAGGAGGAAAGCCCTGAGAACTTTGTTTCACATTGGAAGCCTGCTTCTGAGGAACTGCGGCCAAGCCAGCTTCAGCAAGAAAACAGCACTTCTGGGACTACAGGACCCACCTTCTGCTACACAGATTTCCCCAAGGGCAGTACTTTCAAATCCCAGGACACTGGCTGAGAGCTGTGCTCTCAAGAGTAAGGCCCTGATTTCATAGGTCATCACTCATCTTCAGACTCTGGTCCTTTGGTTTGGGAACAGGAAGGAGTTTTGAGGGTGGGGAGTACCATACCCAATGGTGCAAATTGCATTTCCCTCTTTTTCAATAAATACAGTTGTTTGTTTAAACCAAAGAGTTTGAGTGGAAAGGGGGGGGCTTTAAGAATAGGTCCTAGGCCTTAGTTCCAACACCTGGGTTACATTAGGATTGGGTATCAATGATCTTCAATAGTATACAATCTACTAGCCCATCTGAAGTTTCTAAACTGCTCTATCCTTTCAATAAAATATTGACATTATATGACAGATTATCAAAAAACCAAACATGCATCCTTGAAGATAAATAAAGTTGTGTTCTGGAACTGAGCTGTTCTCTCCTCAGTATCTTTTTTATTCATCATAAATGTCCAACTTTCTTAGGCTATAGTCCTAACTACACTGTTACATTAAGATTAGTGGGACTTCCAAGCACACAGTGTGAAACATACAGTAGAGTTTTTAAAATTTCAGTGTGTTAAATTCCATGGATTCAGTTGTGGTATTGTAGTCATAAAAGTTGACAGCTGAGATGTGTCGAAAGGGAGAGTCCTTTACACCAAATTATCTGAGTCTGAATATAATAACTCAGTAGTTCTTAAATGTCATACAATAATCAAATACAATTTCCTACCTCAGATACAATTTCCTGCCTTTTTATTTGGCATGTATAAAATCCATCCATCAGCACATTTCTCCATAACTTAAGTAGCATCAGAGTTTGGGCAGTGCTTCATGCTTTGCTCCCAAGACTAAAACTTAACCTATCTCATTTCATTTTCAAGCTGTAGTAAAAAATGTCCAATATGTTTGTTTACCAAATCAGTTCCCTTAAATTGTTTATTATTAGTGCAGAATAATATAAAACCCTAAACATGTGCGATTTCTGTTGAAAGTTAATTCACTTATTTTAATTGGTTTAATTCATTTGTACCCCGACTTTCTCACCAAAATGGCTTACATTGTTCTCCTGTCTTCCATTTTATCCTCACAACAACCCTATGAAGCAAGTATGAGAGCCTCAAGGCAAGCTTCCATGGCATGAATGGGGATTCAGACTGAGGTCTCCCACATATTAGTCAGCCACTCTTAATCACTATACCACACCGGTTGTCAGTTAAATCAATGATGGGGAGAACTAGAGCCTGTGAACCATGGCATGGATTAAGATCATCTCATTCTTGGATATGGCTCCCATGTACTGCACAGAAGGCTCCTGAAATCTCCTAAAATGAATTTTGAATTCCCATAAGTTTAAAAACAGCTTGGGGTTTGGTGCAAGAGTTATTCAGATACTCTTGGTAATATATGCTATTGTCTCCTAAATTCCCCTCTAGATTCTGGCCTATATTCTTCACGCTTATTAGTTATCTGAACAATACCAGTTAATGGAAAATACGTCAGAAGGCAATACATCTCAAAGGACTGAAAATGAATGTGTCACTCAAAAAGATATTGTGAACATGTATAAAAAGTTATTTTGTCTTCCAACTTTGATTTAAAATTGCACAAGAAAAAAGTTGCAAAACTGAATTATTCAAGGGGGCTTTTCTGTGCAGGTAATAGAGATGCACTGTATAAAATGGTTCTCAGACTTACTTGGATAACTGATTAGGGTCTGTGGTCTATACTGCTGTGTATAGCTGATTCTAAGTAGGATGCTATTATGTAATTTTTGCTGCTTAATGTGTCATGTTAATATTCATGCTATGCTTCAGTTCTTTCTGGTTGATTCCTGACTTCTAAAATCCTAATGCACTGGTTACTTAATGTCCCATTTTGTTGATTGTAGTGACTCGCTAAGTGTAATCTGCCTTGGGTCCCTGTGAGAAATGTGAACTATCAATAACATAAATAAATAAATAAAATAAATACTGAGTAGTTATATATTTTTATGCTTCCTCTGGGATATTAAAAATGACACATTTATCGTATTTATGAAACTATCCTCTAGGGACACAATTTAATGGAGGTACCTGTCAATCTTATTCTGCGCAACTCCTGCCCCTGCTCTTGGTTTTAGCCATTACATTTAATAGTTACTGACAGAAACCTTGTGTTCTACCCCAAAAGTGCCAGTGACTAAATTCGGGACAACTGATTTGATCAATAGGAGAGTTATTGGTAATGAATGAATGTTTATGATACTACTATATCTAATACAACAGTTACACAAATTCTCTCATTACCTTCAAATGCTTGGGCAGCATCTACCAAGTTAGACCAGTCTAGACCTGTGGCTGTGTCTGGAAGGGGCATCAGGCCAGGATCATTGAATCTTGATTTGTCAGATAACGATCCATCTGAGAACCAAAACTCATCTAAGTTTAAGATAAAAATGTGTCTTTAGGAAATATCTTAAATAAGATATAACGTATAAGAATATAATGGCGTTTTAAACTGTAAATATCAAATTTGCAGGAAATATGAGCAATGGACCATCCACATGTTGTTATGCACATCTAGCTGCCAAACTGATTATTCCTCATCTACTCTGCCAACATAAATCACTAATCTGGAGGCATGGGGAGTTCTAATCCTCACCTCCATCACACAAAAAGGGAAGCTGAGAGTGCTAACCATCTCTTTCATGCTCTTGGGCTATAACTACAATTAAGAGAAAGAAAACGGATTGTAGGCACTGTGTGTTCCCTACCCCATCAAGCACCAATCCTCACTGCCCTTTCTAACCCTGATGGCTGTAACAATGGTGAAGAATCACACCTCACTGATTCTAACAGTTGGTTAGTTACATCAAGGCTTGTTCAGAAACAGGGTTTGAAGATCAACTTCTAACTGTGGTTTCAAATCCTGATTATGATGTAAATGCTAGGCTGGTTCCAAACAGGGGTGAGAAAGCTACCCTGGAATGCAAGGACAAAGGGATAGCATTTGCACCCCCTTCCCTGTGTGCCACTCACTGCTGATGCTGCCCCTCCCCCTTCTTCATTGTATTGGCACAGATTCTTGTTGCCAACCCAATTCCCCTATCCACAGGTCAGTGTTTAAAACACTCAGTTGTTAAAGGTCCAGGGATACAGAGCTTTCACAAAGAGTCTATATATGCAGCCACCATACTGTTACCCCCCTTTAGGTCAGAGCAAAGAACATTTTCTTTGCTATGGCTTAAAGGGGAAAGCCCTGGCAGCCTCGTGAATCATGATCAAAAAGAGCATACTGTGACAGGGAGCAGCACTAGTATGAGTAAATGAATGTATGAGTAAATCAATACTAATCAGTATGCTACAGTAAAGACAGTTCTCCACATTCAGTCTTTATAAAAATCTGAAGAATATAACATAACTTTTAGTAGGTTTCCTTGCATCTGAAAATTCACCGAATATCACATTTAACACATAAACTTACGTCTTAGGTTTCCAATACCAGCTGATAAACTTGTTCTAGGAGGTAATGTACTGTGATATGGTGGGGTAGTGCTGAACAAAATGTCATTTGGTAAAGCTTGGTCTAGCATTGAACTTCGCGAACTAGCATATGAAGATCCTCTCCGATTGCTACATATGCTCTCATCAGAAAGAGTGCGATAGAGTATTCTTCTTGGTGATAGGTTGCCATAAAATGAGAACTAAACATTTCAGAAAAGTAAATTAGTTAATAAATTTGAACATATGTCCTATTTTAGTTGCAATAATAGCTCATATACTATGTCCTGATATGAGTTGACTTTTCACTGACATCTATTTACACTGGTAACTAGTAACATCCACTGTTTGAGTCTTGTTGGTCTTAAAGGTGCCACTGGACTCAACCTTTGTTCTCAGACCAACACAGCTACCAACCTGAATCTATCCACTGTATCAATCACTGTAGGTGCACCTGGGCTTGTAAACTTGTATACCTGAAGTGGCTACCACAGGGTACAGGCCAACTTTACGTTCCTTCAGGGGCAGAAAGATAATGGGAGTTAATTGGTGTAATTAAAATCATCCTGAACCATGTGGGAGGCAATTCAGACAAGTACATTCTCTATTTATTTATGTAAAACATTTATATAGCCACCTTTTTGTAGGGGGGGGACAACTGAGAATCAATACAGTCAACAGATTAAAAACCGTATAACACTGAGAAAAGTTAAACCATCAAACTCCATTTAAATTGTTTCAAGCTGCCCACAAAAACCCTGCAACTGACATCCATAAAAGATCGCAGCCCCTAAGAAGCAGACTATAGAAACCATCAAGAGACTCCAAAGGCTGTCTTCAAATGTTCTGTCTTACAGCCCTTATGGAATTACAGAAAAGACTGGGACTTTCTAAATTCTTCTGGAAGGCTATTCCACAGGCACAGAGACAACCCATGAATAGGCGGCAATGGAATGTACCTTAACAGGATTGAGGATAACTAGCAGCTACTACCGTGCTGAGCAAACTTTTTTTGTAGAAAAAGCCCAGCAGGAACTCATTAGCATAATAGGCCACACCCTGACACCACAGCTCATTAGCATATTAGGCCGCAGCCCCCTATTGCCAGAAGTGTGGTCATCCAGCCACACCCACCTTTTGCTTCTTATTCTGTTTACCTTGTTTGTTGTCAAAACCCAGGGCCTTTTTTTGTAGCAGGGACTCCTTTGCAGTAGGCCACACACGCCTACTGTAGCCAATCCTAATGAGTTTCTGCTGTTGGGTGTGGCCTATTATGCTAATGAGCTCCTGCTGGGTGTGGCCAACTCAGGAGCCAGCCGGAACTCCGTTCCTGTGCGTTCCTGCCCCAAAATAGCCCTGGTGCTGAGTAAAGGTGCATAGGCTCACAATGGGAGAGATGATTCTTCAGCCATGTGAGCCTTAAGTTGTGAAGGGCTTTAAAGCATATTGAACTGGACTTGAAAACTAACAGGTAGCCTATGCAAAGGTCACAAGATAGCAGTAATATGATCCCTGCAGCCTGTCCCTGAAAACAGATGGGCTTAGGGTTGCCAAGTCCTTACTGTATGTAGAGCGGGGGAGTCCAGCGCTGCTTCGGGAGTCCATGCGCGTGCGCCGCAATTACGTCACCAGGAAGTGACGCAATCATGTCGGGCACATTGGGGGTGGGGCCACAATCATCCGAGGGAAAACCATAGTTTTTCCTCGGATGATTGTGGCCCCGCCCCCAACGTTGCCGACATGATTGCGTCACTTCCGGGTGACGTGCTGACGCTGGGCATGTCGCGTGCTTTGGGGGTGGGGTTCCCCTCGGGGCCCGATCTGCCGGCGGCGGGTAATGGGCCTCTCAGGCGGGGGTTTCCCCGCCCCCTGGGGGGACTTGGCAGCCCATAATTTCGAAACAGTCTTCAAGGGCAGCCTACATAGACCATATTATAATAATAAAGCCTGGAGATTATAAATGGATAGGTACCCAGATTGTTCCATGTTCTGGTTGCAGCGGTGTTAATAAGACTATGTCTGAAATATGTCATCAAGTGTTAAATCCTTTGTGGGCACAAGTACACACAGGTAAGTGTTGATGGTTCATGGGGTGGTTAAAGAACTAAATAACTTTATATATTTCTAAGAAATTGGCCCAAAGAATCCTTTTCTTTTCCTATATGTGGCTGATTCCAGTCATTTGTGCACAATTCTTAAACTGTTCAAATTTCTCAAATGGTTACTTATTCTCCCCTGCCCCCAGTAAATCTGTCCCAGAATGTCTGGGGACACTCCAAAGTGTGATTCAACATGGCCAGAGAGTCATACTTGGAAAGAAAGATTGGCAACTCCTCTCTCTACAAGTGGAAGTGCTTTTTGCACAGGACTTTTAAAATTTTCGCCAATGTTTGAAAATGTGCAGGATTGTGACATATGCTATAAATCTCAGATGAATTTCAGGAATGTCCAAAAACGGACATACACCAGTAAATGCTCACAATAACATTTACTCAGTTTTGGGACATTTGCTAATAAATGTTAGCATTCCCCAAATAAATTATGTACATTTTCTATATCATAAATGCAAAAAACATGCATGCCTGTGACTGACCATCTCACAGGGACTCCCAAAATTAAAACTGATATACATGCAGTCCAAACAATCTTTATAAAGTGGAAAATCTAGAAACAATATACTTGTATGCTTCTCCCTTAAAACAGTGAGTATAAAGTAAAAATGACAATACATTCTATTCTTGTAAAAACGTTTACATTTTGGCTGAAAGTTGAAATAGTTTGACATCTTAATTAGAGCTTTGAAAGTTTGGGGGGAACCTGGGAAAACTCAGAAAAAAAGATTTTCCCTGAAGACTCTACCCCCCCCCCATTTTTTTCAACAGAAAAAAATTAGAAAGTTTGTTGTTGTTCAGTCGCACAGTCGAGTCCGACTCTTCGCGACCCCATGGACCAGATCACGCCAGACCTTCTGGTCTTCCTCCGTCCTCTGAAGTTTGCTCAACTTCATGTTCATTGCATCGATGACACTGTCTAACCATCTCATCCTTTGCCGTCCCCGTCTTCTTTGACCTTCAGTCTTTCCCAGCATCAGGGTCTTCTCCAGTGAGTGCTCCCTTCTCATTTGGTGGCCAAAGTATTTGAGCTTCAGTTTCATTATCTGGCCTTCCAGGGAACAGTCAGGGTTGATTTCTTTTAGGATTGACTGATTTGATCTTCTTGCAGTCCAAGGGACTCTCAAGAGTCTTCTCCAGCAAAATAGTTTAAAAAAAAATCTATTCCTCAGCGCTTGGCCTTCCTTATAGTCCAACTCTCGCAGCCATACATGACTACTGGGAATACCATTGCTTTAGAAAGTTTAGGGAGCTCTAAAAAGAAAACTATGAAATATTTTCCATTTTGGTATAAATAAAATAATTGTTAAGAGAAGTTGTTACTGGCTCTAAATGTGTAGTATGAAGACAATCTACACATTTGTTGATAGTATTTCCTATGTGTAATATAGACATATACAACATGTTTTGCTGATTGTTTAGATGTGACTAGTTTTGTACACAATTAACATGCTATACTGTGTATGATAATATACTACTGAAGATTTCAGTGTTATAAAGTTTATCTCAGTATCCAAATATGGTGCTTGTCCTGGTATGACTGTATGAGACTCTTTGTCCAATAATAATACAATTCATTTTATATACTACAAAATTTGCATTTTTCTATTTTCATATTTTAGTTTTTCCAGCCTCTAAATGGTAAAAATGAAGGTACATGTGCTAAGATAGCACAGGATACTGCAGTTTGCAGCTTTCTCTCCAGTATTGGATATATTTGCAATTTACTTATAGAAAACCAAGACATTTATACTCTTAAATTCCATATCAATTAGTACAATTATCTATCCTAATTAAGTTACAAATGATGCATTTTATATTGTTAAAGAAGAAAAATAAGTTCAGGGTTGATAGAAAAGTTAGTATATTTTTCAATTTTTTTAAAAAGAAAAAAATCTTAAATGATGTCTTTATAATTTCCATTAATTTTACATCTATAATCTCAATTACTAAAAAGGGGGATATTTTAACACCTGATAATGCAAACTTGCAGTGTGGTTTATGTGGTAACAAAGGCTAGTACTTAAACACAGAGTAAGCAATGTTCCATTCACCTGCCTATTTTCTCCCCATGGGGAAATTGTTCAGAGTGGGAAGGGGGAAGAGAGATTGGTAAAAGCTGTAAGGAAAAAAGGCTGAACCAGCAGTCTTAATCCAGGCTGAGCCTCCTATGACTGCTCTTAGTATTAAAAAAAAGACCTGCAGATATCCCACAGCCACATCTAGTTTACCAATTAAGAGTAGACCTTTTAAGAAGAGGTATACTAAAGCTATGCAATATAACCTATAGTGTGCTAGGATTTATAGCCATGTTTTAAAGGATACTTATTATCTAAATTACTACTATCAGTATACATTGTTTCCTAAATTCTGAACAGTGATATCAATTGATTGTTTGACATAATTGCAGTGGGGGGGAAAGTACCTAACCTTTCGTCTGCCCTCCTCCACAGAGACGGTCTCTGGCAACATCAGCTTCAGAAACTCTTCTTTGGACAAGACATGCTGGCTTTCAGGAGCTGTATTCCTTACTGAGGCTTGAAGTTGACTTGAAGACAGCCTCACAACATCATTATATAATCTGAAGAAACAATTGGTTGTTTATTATTTATTTATTTCATTAGGCTTTTATACCACCCTCCCCACATGCAGGCTCAGGGCAGTTTACCATTAGCTTAACATTTTCATGGATATTCTTTTTACAGTGCTCTGCTAGTTGCATTTTTCTTAATCTCTAAACAATTTAAAAATTAATCTCAGTTTTGGGATGACACTCATTGAAGAAATTAGGGTTGCCAGCCTCCAGGTGGGGCCTGGAGATCCCCTGCTTTCACAACTGATCTCCAGCTGATAGAGATCAGCTCCCCTGGAGAAAATGGCTGCTTTGAAGGGTGGACTCTATGGCATTGTGCCATGCTGAGGCCCCTCCCCTCCCCCAAACCCCACCCTCTCCTGGATCCACCCCCAAAGTCTCCTGGTATTTTCCCAACCCAGACCTGGCAACCCTAGAAGAAATTGAGCTCCTGATGACTCTGAGTAGAAAACGTGCCACATAATTATTTTTCTAATCAAAATGGGCATCATCATCTTATCCTCAAAGACTACTAGTACACTCCCCTATTACCCTGCTCCTTACTTGGACTGGCATTAAGGATTGCCAAATCTGGGTATAGATTCTACCATCCAAAGCAGCAATTTCCTCCAGACGAACTGATATCTGTTATCAGGAGATGAGCTGTAATTCCAGGAGGGTTCCAGGTCCCATCCGGAGGTTGGTAACCCTAACTGGCATTTTCATTCAATCACAGATCCAAATATTTAACATCTCTTAAAGAAACTGATATAGTGGCATAAATCCCACCTTCTTCCATACAGTCTTTTTCCAGCCTAAGAAACCTTCCTTTAACGTAAGTGACTCTTCGTAGCTCTTTGTTGGAAAAAGTGCCACAAGGCTCCGTAAGGTGGAGGAAAGTTTCAAATTTTAGCTAGTTGAGTGGTAGATCCACTCCACTGAATACAGATTGTTGATAATAGACTGATAGTTGCATAAGAATTACCAGTGATAGTTCCCTTGTAATCTCTGTTCTATTTCATAAGCATATATTATTGTAAAAAATTAAAAATTGTTCAGAACAACAGGGCGCCTTTTTACATAACCACATAAATTGTGTACAACAAAGGAAAAGCAAACTAAACTCTTTTTATTTTGCAAATTTTACAAATGCAATGGTTGTGAACCTCCAGGTGGGGCCTGGAGATCTCCTGAAGTAGAGGTGTTCTTCAGATTAGTTCCCCTGGAGAAAATGGCAGCTTCAGAGGGTGGATTCTATGGCATTATACCCTCCCTAAACCCCACCCTCCCCAGATTCCATCTCCAAATCTTCAAGAATTTCTTGCCTTGGAGCTGGCAATCTTACAAATACATCCTGAAAACTGGAAATTACTAATTATTAGTGTATCCAGGGGTCATTTCGTAGAAAAAGAGGTGCAGGAGCTCATTAGCATAACTCATTAGCGTACCTTATTTGCATATGCCACACACCCTGACATCACCGGAAGTGTGTCAGAAGGCAACACCCACCGCTCAGGTTCCACTGGACTGTTTTGGATTGCTAGCTATTGGGGGGGGGGGAACGTGCAGATCTGCCCTCACAGAGGAGGGAGAGCTTGTACCTGAATAAAACTTGGTCTTAGGTGCTACTGGACTGTTTATGACTGTGGGGCTGGGGGGGCTCTGCAACTTACCTGGCTGCTTCTTGCTCTGACTGAAGGCTGCTGGGAGCAGGGGGTGGGGCTTGTTACATGTGCTCGTCCCTTGGGCTCTTTACTGCCGGAGTTTCGCTCCTGTGCGCTCCTGCAGGAAATGACCCCTGCATACACCTAAGACTAATAACTGCTAAAGGCAGCATAATTCACTATCATATCCTGATCAGAGAGGAAAATGGGTTTTGTGATACCACAATGTAATTTTTCATGAATTACATCTATGCTGCTAGTGAGTGACCTCTCTAACTGCTTTGATGCAGAACAAACAGGAGGCAGGAGACTCATGGGCAGCTGACCTGCCTGACGAATGACTACATCTTCCAAGCCCTTTGGAGCTATTACTGAGTTTTCATTTTCTTTCTTTCTTTAGACTGCTCCCTTTCTAATTTCAAAAAATATTATCCTAAACAAAACTTACTCTTGACATTCAGAAGATTCAGATTCCTCAGGTGTAGGGCTGCCTTCTGATTTTTTCCAGCCAATGACATATTTGCTTATTGCTCCTTGTCTAGGGTAGCATTTTGCTATTGAGCCAGAGATCTGTTGACTACTATTTTGAGACACTATGTATACTTTGGAGGTATCTAAAGATCCACTGTTTTTGAGACCATGTGCTGAAGGACTTCCTGAATGATGTGACCCACTAGAAGTAGAAAAAAATACAAACACAAACCAATACCAAAAAAATCTTGCAGCACCTTAAAAACTACTAAAATGACAGTGACATAAGGAAGAGCTAGAGCTCATCAGATGCATCAAGTACTACATTCAGTCACCAGATTATATACACAAATATAGAGAGAAAATGGGTGGGGGAGGGTGGAGATATAAAGAAAGGCCAGAAGGTGCACTATACACATTCCACTGCAGAGATCAGATGATAACACCATTCAAAGGGACAGATGAGTTAATCAGAGTGGGTGTTAACCACTCCCAGTTGATGAATTACAAAAGTAGGATAAATATAAATAGTGTATATGACTTTGAAAGGAAGGACAATTAGGCTGCAAAGGAGCATATCCATACTCCTGTTCCTGTGCCACTCGCTGCTGCCACCCCCACCCCCCCAAGCCTTGCTCATCCCTGTTTCCACTAATCATGCCTGCACAAGCACAGGTATTGACAGCACTCAGACTGGGACCCCACTCCATCACTGAAACTAGGATTGCCAGGTCCTCCCTGGCCACTAGCAAGGGGGTTTTTTTTGCCAGCTCTAGGTTGGGAAACTCCTGGAGATTTGGAGGTGGAGCCTGGGGATGACAGGGACCTCAGTGGGGTACAGTGCCATAGAGTCCATACTCCAAAGCATCCTCTTTCTCCAAGGAAACTGATATCTGTCATCTGGAGATGAGATGTAATTCCAGGGGATCCCCAGGTCCCACCTGAAGTCTGACATCTCTATCTGAAACTCCCACTCCCCCCATTTCTCTTCCAAGCCATGCTTTAAGAAGAAGAAGATATTGGATTTATACCCCGCCCTTCACTTGGAGTCTCAGAGCGGCTTACAAACTCTTTTCCCTTCCCCTCCCCACAACAGACATCCTGTGAGGTGGGTGGGGCTGAGAGAACTCTGACACAAACTGCTCTTTCAGGAACAGCTGTGCCAGAGCTTGGGACTGACCCAAGGTCACATCAGCAGGTGCAAGTGGAGGAGTGGGGAATCAAACCCGGTTCTCCCAGATTAGAGTCCGCACACTTAACCACTACACCAAACTGGCTCTCATGGAATACTCATGGAAGGACATGGGAAAAAGTCCTTTAAAGGGGACTACAATACCCCATATCATTTTAAAAGTTGAGCTTAGCTCCACCCCCCTTCCCATGATGGGTATAAGTTAACAATTGGACCGACATGCCATTAGCCGCCAACCCGCAAGTCCCCCTTTAAATTGGAGAGAAAAAACAGGTTGCTATTCTCCAGATAAAAGTCATAAATCATACTTGGAATGAACCCAGAATTATGCTGGGGCTTCCTGTGTTCCATGCAGGGAAAAATCCCCTATGGAAACAGCCTTCCTTATTGTAGAGAGCTACCCGTTTCTAGTCGCTTTTGAGTCCAACAGCAGATGTTCTCACCTCTCTGGAATTTTTAAATAGTCTCCCCCCCCCCATGATTTATTTTGAAGAGGTTTATTTCCTACTTTAGTGCCAAATTCTACAGCAATGCAATTTTAGTTACAACAAAAGCAAATCCACATATTAACAACTATATGATCACCCATATTGAAGAAAATCACCTACCTGGAATGTGAAGATATTTCACTGAGGTCTCCCATACTGCCATCACCCGTATGACTGCTAGAAATTGCAGAAGCATAGCTGTGAACAGTATACACTTTTGTTTGCTCATCATCTGGTCCAGCAGTTTCAGAAGATTCAGTCCACTGATCAGTACGACCATGTATCCCGGACCGGCTTCCAGACAGGTGCAAAGGAGTCAAAATTGGGGCGGGCATACAGGGAGCAGTATCAATTCCACTGTCAGTAGAAGCTCCTTTGCTATAAATTAATCCAAGCAAGTCAGTATCCATTAGGTCTCCAGAGCCAAAATGCTTGTCATCACTGTTGCTAGATGTATTACTGGACAGAGTATTACTGCTGGAATGGCTGGAACAGTTTTTGTCTCCAATCTTTAAAGAAATATTTTACAACACAATTATATTTCATGTTATTCAGAGTTTTCACAAATGGTGGATGCAAACTTTGTCACATTATTTTTAGAAGTACCAAATAAAACTAGCACAGACACTAGGCTATGCAACTAGTATTGTTACACATATGGATAGAGTCATTAGTATTGTTATCAATACATCTGAAAAGCAGACTGGATTTTTTCCCACTGCATATGAGATGAGACTACATGATATTAGGCACAGTGAATTCCATTCAGACATATACCCAGCTATTCATATTATATTACGAAATCCTGGTTATTATTGACAGAGATTTTCTAAATGCTTCTAAATAACTGAACAGAAGTTGCTACTAGTGGCTTTTTACAGACGAATTAATGCTTTTCATATAGCTGCCGAGCTTCTGTCTGTGTATTCTTTGGACAGCCCTGACTTAAGAAATAAATCTGTTCATATGAGGCTACAGAGCTGGGTTAAAAGTAAGCTTGAAGCATAACAGCGCTCATATCAGAAGTGTGGGCAAATCTGAGATGATTTCCACACTCAAGCAGGAGTGATGCTGAGGATGACTACAGATCATTGCTATTTAGCTGGGTCTCCCAAAAGATGAAACACTGGTGGCCCTGACTGGTTTTTCCAGGGGCTACTGTATACCAGGTGATTCGATCCCCACAAAAGGAAAGAGCCAGAAGATCGTATGGATACACTATGCCTTTGAACTGGCCCACCAGAGTGAAGTCAACAGTTGCCTAGAAGGATTCAGACTGGTCTTTCACAAACAGATGCTCTCAAGTCATACAGCAAACTGTTTTTGTAACTCAAGGAAGTTTCAAAAGCAGTTTGTAGCAGTGAGCTATCGTTCCATGGGGGAAAATACTTCTGAATGTGCATACAGTAGTTCTTTGGTCTGTTGCCAATTAAGTGTAAATGTTCTAAAATAAAACAAAAACAAATAAAACAGCATCAAAACATCCTGTTTTAATTTAAAATACAGATTATAGAAGGTTCTAACTGTAATTCGGTTATTGTTTTGTAAAAGGGGAGACAGTGCTGAAAAGAGTGTGACTGGCTGAAGAAGGAGAGAGTGAGAGGTCTGCAGGACATCAAGAGTCTTCCCAGATATAAAACAGCTAGCTTGGGGATAAGATGCAGGAGAGCCTTGTGAGAATGTTGCCTCTCAGATGGCAAAGACAGCACTTGCCTCTGGCCACCAGGTTGAATCCAGACTAAATTTGTCATCAGTGGAAGGGAACTATGCAGCCTGCCCCCTCCCACTGCAGCCCACTAATCTCCCCAAGATGCTGCTCCTGGGGAATGGGGACCCCCCAGGAAAAGCATGAGGAAGGCCTGCTACAAGAATGGGGGAATCAGTGAAAACTGCCAATTTAGCCTGTATCCAACCCTTTACCTTTTCTGTTATCTAGATGAGCAGGGATCAGCACTGGCAGTGCTCTTAACAGGCTGTAGGAATAAAACAGACTGAAAAAGCAAATTTGACGGACACTCTTTTGTTTTATTCACAAAATCCCAGGCTCAAGTCATAGCTGAAGGGAAGGGGAAAGGGCTAGAAATGTAAATTAGGGA